CTTCAACTTCTAACATGACTGTAATTATTTGCATTTTATGGTAATACCCATGCACAATGTAATATTCTACACAGAATTTAGTTTACCATAATTCATATGACTTAATATGCAGCTTTGAATAGACTTTTTACTATTATTGTTCTATATACAAATGCTGCTACTGAAACAAGCATAAAGTAGCCTGCACTGAGCAACCACCTGCAGAGCTTTGCAAATCCAGACAGCAGAAGTTTCAGCAGTGATCCTTCCTATCAACAGATGGAGACAAAGATAAATGATTCCACTGGCTAGAACACTTCCCCGGATAGATTAACCTACTGGTTTGGTTTTTAGGCGAGATTTGAAAAAGGCTTCTCACAAGATCTGTCAAAAGTACTCAAAGAGGTTACAAAGGTAGAAAGTCAGATTTCCATCATTTTATTGCCTGCAAGTAGAGCAGGTTTGTCTCATGCAAAACTATTAAAATCATATTCCTAGATAAAGTTCTATTATATATTTTCATCATGGTTATAAGTAAAACAAACTGTCATCTTTTTAAATTAAATAGAGACAACTTATTTTTTGGAAAGAGTTTTTTGACCATATGTAGGGCTATCAGGTAGAACTTCTCTGAGTCCAGGCACTGTTGCTTTTCTTTGTAGCGGGAAGACTTGTAAAGTAGCTGATAAGAGAAAAATGACAAGCTTTGAATCCTGTAATCAAGAATACTTTCTATCCCAAGATGGTTTGATCCTGCTGTCAAAGGTATGCAGTGAACTGCAGCCTGCGACTGCAAGAGAGAAGCATGAGACACCGTTTGTGGGAAGCAGCCAGAGTCAGGTGGTGTGAGGTGCAACACACACAAGTGCAAACTGTAGCTTTTCTTCTTCACAGATTCTCTGCCATTCCGTGCCAGTAGAACTTGTTATAGAGCCTGTGCACATGTTTGCAGCTAAATACATAAATATGTAATATACAAAATATGTATTTAAAGATTCTCAGTATAGCTGAACGGCTTCCCTGCCCATGGCAGGGGGGTTGGAACTAGATGACCTTTAAAGGTCCCTTCCGACCCAAACCGTTCTATGATTCTCTGGTATCTCAGCTTGTAGATTTAATGTGTTTAAGAATCACAGGATCTGCGCCTCTGAGGTTTCAACACAAGCAAGACAGTTGCTTGAGGTCCCTGCCTTTGGAATTTGCTCCTTCTGGCACTCTGACAGAGAGCACTTTGTTGGCCTTGAGAACATATTGCAAGGCCAATCATTTCCATCAAGATTTGGCTGCACAGCTCTAAACAAAGACTTATTTTCCTAATCATTGATTTGTTTTCTGATGGATAGTCACTTGGAGTAGTACTGACCATTGTGGGCATTTATAAATTGAAGCATTCTTTTATGTATGATGCACCCAATGCCACAGTAGTGGGTAGATTATAAATATTTTTTAAAACCCCACACAAATAATAAGGGAATTCAAAACATGGCACATCTATAACTATACTATTAACTGTAAACTGTTCACTGAAAAGCAGAAGTAGCAAAACACACAAATTACTCTCTGATATTTATATTCTTTTGGTTTCTAACACCACACATACATAGGCACATAGTTGATTTGGGATAAATTACTGGCTTTGCATTTTATGTGACCTGCAGAAATATGCAGTATCCCCCTGCCTCGCAAATAAATTGATTGTATTTCTTAAGATTAGGAAATAATTTCTCAGATTAGAAAAGGAGAAGACTATTCACAGATGAAAGGGGCATCTTGTTTTAACAGACTGATTTTATTCTTAGGAAAACAACCTGTCTAAAAATTAACTACACATGAGGAGATAATCTGTTTTAAATACTATAGATCTGTTTCATGATTTTCCCTTAAAGCTGGGAAGATTAACGGGTATTTGTAAATAGTATCTTCTGTAGAAATTCAGATCCCCTTTCCTTTGTCTGTCCTAAACTGGTGGATAATATGACAAGGCAAATTTTAAGGAAGCAGAGTCTGATTAACTGAGAGGAAAACTAACAAACATTGCAAATGTTCTGAAGGGATCGCTCTGCTTTTGGTCAACCGCAATCAATAATTTAAGGATAGGATAAGGAAAAGAAGATAAATGTTGAATAACATCCTGTTGCCATTAGCAAAGGCTGAATTCTTCAGTATCCTAAACTAAGTAGAAATCTAATAGAAGTTCAGCACCTAGCCAGCAAATATTATCTTTGGATTCATCCAAAGCTTTGTTTAGAAGGAAAAAGCCCTCTTCATGGACATGATGGACATGGACAGCAATAACTGAGGAATTCAGGAACTTTCTTAAAATGTTCCTTGAGTCCTATTTTCATTCTGAACTTATGTAGGCAGTTTTTATTTGGAAATGAGTAAAAACTTTATTTAAATACAACAGATAACCAGTTTCTTTGGATGACGCTAGTAACCATAAGCGTACCTCCTTGTCTTCTTCAAAATCCTGAGAAGCAAGCCTACCCAAGATCTTACTTTTTTTTACCCCCCAAAATATGAAATATGAAATACTCTAAATGACTGTGAATCTATTAATGTTGCAATAATGTCTATTACTGTTTTAAATTTTTATTTATGTTGACTTGTATGCTCTGGGCAACTCTAAATTTGACTCTTTGCTTCATTTTAATATATGGCTAATTCACTAGTCCTAAAAGAAACATAAGGCATAAGGGGATTTTTTCCCCCTCCTTGTCTTTCTTCTTCAGTGCCCTTTACAATGGACTTGAGTCATGTTGGATGGAAACTTCTCCATTGTATGTGGTTCTGTGGTTGAAACAATTTTGTGCTTAGTTTCAAGTGGCTGTAATATAAATAGAAGCCACACCACTTTTTTATGTGGGATGGTGTATTTTTATAACTTAAAGCATGATGGTATATTTGAAGAACAAATTAGTCATTCTGCCTCAAGAACTAGTCTGTCTGAGGTATGCCACAAAATTGTTTTTGAATTGTTTACCTGGTGTGGAGCCTACTGAGAGTAAAAATAGATTCTTGATTTAGGCTTGGTAATTCCTGTATTACAGTTTGGCTTATTCTGTTGCTTAACTGATTGCCATGGAGCTCTGCTGGTACAGAGCAGCAGTACAGTCCCTGATAGATTACGTCAGAATGTATTGTCATGGTCTATTCCTTCAGTATATTAAAAGAAGGACACGAAAGTTGTAGCTGATGATGACCTGCTGCCTAGCTATGAAGACATAAAAGATACTATTTAGCATTTATGTAGCACATTTCAAAGAATCATAGAATTGTAGAATGTTTTGGGTTAGAACAGAACTTTTAAAGATCATCTAGTATGACGCCTCCTGCCGTGGGCAGGGATGCCCTCAACTAGACCAGGTCGCTCAAAGCCTCGTCCAACCTGACATTGAACACTTCCAGTGATGGGGCACCCACAACTTCTCTGGGCAACCTGTTCTAGTGTCTCACTACCCTCAGCATAAAGATTTTCTTCCTTATATCCAATCTAAATCTACCCTCTTTCAGTCTAAAGCCATTACCCCTTGTCCTATCACTACAGCCCTTGGCAAAAAGTCATTCTCTGTCTTTCTTATAAGCCCCCTTTAAGTATTGAAAGGCCACTATAAAGTCTCCCCAGAGGCTTCTCTTCTCCAGGCTGAACAACCCCAACTCAGCCTTTCTTCATAGGAGAGGTGTTCCAACCCTTTGAACACCTCCTCTGGACCTGCTCTAACGGGTCCATGTCTGTCTTCTACTGGGGACCCCAGAAATGCATGCAGTATTCCAGGTAACGTCTCACGAGAGCTGAGTAGGGGGGCAGAATCACCCCTCTCGTACCTGCTGGCCACACTTCTTTTGATGCAGCCCAGGATACAGTTGGCTTTCTGGCCTGTGAGCACACATCGCTGGCTGATATCCAACTTTTCATCCACTAGGATACCCATGTCCTTTCTGCAGCGCTGCTCTCTGTCAATTCATTACCCAGTCTGCACTGATACTTGGGGACTGCCGTGACCCAAGTGCAGGACCCTGCAATCCAGGTCCCTCTGGATGGCATCCCTTCCCTCTAGCTTACTGACTGCACCACTCAGCTTGGTGTTACCCCCAAACTTCCTGAGGGTGCACTCACTGCCACTAGGCATTAATGAAGATACTAAATAGTACTGGTCTCAGTGCAGACCCTTCAGGGACACCGCTTGCTACTGCTTTCCATTTGGACATTGAGCCGTTGACTGTAACTCTGGATTCGGCCATCTGCACAATTCCTTACCCATCTAATAGTCCACCCATCAAATCCGTATCTCTCCAATTTAGAGGCAAAACTTTTACTTTCTTAGACTTTTACAAAAATACCACACTCTCAGAAGTTATTTAAAAGATCAATAAAATAAACTTAACATTTTGCAAGCATGGAAGTGGAAACGCAAAGATGATTTCCTAAGCCTGAAAGGTAGCAAGGCCAGGGGCAGAATTCTGCATCCCCACACTTTAACTATCATGCCATGAAAGATAAAATAAGTGAAATGCATCCATTTGCAACCTTTGACACAAGTTTTCTAGCACGCTGAATATATTTCAGGAGTTTCCTAGATTTGAAAGGTTTTTTTGTGAATTGCAGCACATAAAAGAAGATTATAATGCAATTAATTTCTCACAAGAACAATAAGAACTATTGTCTTAGCATTCTTTCTGAAATCATCAGGGCAAAGATTGTCTATGACAGCACTTCCTATTATTTCCATGATATTTTATACAGATGTAACTGAAAGGAAACAATACAAAGCCTAGTAGTAATCCACTGAATCCACAGTTACCAGTTTACTGGTAGAACCACACCAAGACTTGGAATACTCGGTTGTATCCGGAGATAATCTCTTTTAAATATGAAAAACCTATAAAACATGTTGATAAGTTCTTGAATTCTTGTAGTTCAGGGTATGTCTGCATAGTTTTCCACCCAATTTTTTTTAGGAAAATTTTGAGCTTAAAATTATAGAATAAGATTCTCTATTTTACAAACAAAAGTTTCCTACCTGAGGCTGCTGAGTGGCAGTGGGTCTCTGAGGAGATGGGATAGGAGTTTTGGACAACATTTGGTTCATTTTGCTTACGACTAATTCGGTTATATGTTGCCTGTCTTCAGTCTGATGCTCACCGATCAGAGGCATTGCACAATCCATGACCTGTAAAATAAAACAATACATCAGCTATTGATGTGGAACCAAATTAAACTTATTCCACATCCGTGTAGAATGTCAATTTTACTTATTTTTTTTTAACAAAAGTCAACCAAGATCTGTAGAAATAGTATATCCTATATCAGAAAAAAAAGAAGCCCGAGTGCAGGATATGGGTCAGCAGAGCAAGAGAACTGCAATTTTACAATGACATCCCTTTCCAATCTTCAAGCTGTATGCAGGTTCAGTATGATACCTGGGCATCCACTCCCTGGGGAACTTGACTCCCGTGGGAAGCACACAGCAGATAAGGGAAATGAGTTTTTTTGGGCTATTCAGTGGCCTGCCGAAAATCTAAAGTAATTGTCTGCACTTCTGTCTAAGCTATGTTTCTGAAGATTTTCTCATGTATTTTTGTGGCTCATACCATGTTCATCAGCTGAATTAGAACACAGAAATACAAACTACAACTTCTGCTTCCTAGCTATTTGTTGGATTTCTGCTAGGGAAGGCTAGATCCTTATTGGTGAACAAAAAATTTTAAATAAGACCTTGTTATTATTGGCATGCTTTCTTGAAAAGTAGTGTGGCTGCAGTGCAGCTGATGCAAAAAAGTAGTAAGAATTTCTACAAAGAAAGCAGGATATCAGAGAGGCAAATAAAAATGTGCACATTTCCATTCTAAATGTGGCAGGTTAACAGTGTTCAGCAATTATTTATTTCAGCTATTCAGATGAATAAAACTTACACTGAATTCAGTCACTTCAGTGGGTTATAAGCATTTGTTATTTCTACAGAATATCTGTTATTTCTACAGCGTATCTACTTTTGGCGCATCCGTGTTTGTTTCAGAGGAAATAAAAGCGTAACACAATAACCCCAACTGTTATTCACAATGGCACTGGACATTCTTATTTCAACCATGAAAGGACTTAATTCTCTTTTGAAAAACTGCAATCCTTTTTCAATATGTATCAAGGCTATTCAGAAAAAGGTGAAGACATGTCACCTGCAGCCCTGCATTCTGGAGTTTCTCATAGGTATGGATCACAAGTGACTGAGGCCTACAATACAAACAATAGTATTAATAATTAATAGGAAGCTGTCAGGCATAAAGCAGTTAGACTACATTAGCGGTAATATACTGTTCGGATGCATTATATCCAACCCAGTTAGATTCTTTGTACAAACTGAGTTGCGTCCATCTAACTTGCAGGCTGTGAAAAGCCGTCCAGCTGCCAAATCTCACACAAGATTTCTCCCTAGTGTAGGCAAATCATGCCCTAGACACAATGATAAGCTGTGCTGGTAAGAGAGAAGGTGGTGGTGGGTGAAGAAGGAAAGAAACATTAGTAAGGAATCCTCATGGCGTTTGCACAACTGCAGAAGGATCAGTGAGTTTTATGGGGGTGTTTTAGCACAAGAAGTGCACCTTCCTGTACCTCTTTGGCTTCTGAGGTTCCTTCTCTATTGAAACAAGACCGAAAAGGTTCAACAGAGTTGAAAGAGTGCTGGAGGACTCTTGCTGCCACAGGAAACTGTAAGCGTTACTGGCCTGAGAAACACCTTAAACTGCCTCACTCCTATCCAATCTCTAGCAGAAGGACTAAAAAGAGAGCTCTGCTATTGGGAGGCAGGGCTATTTTGGCTAGAGAGGCTGATTCCCATCTCTTCAGGTGGGCACTCTGCTGTAGGTTGTTGCCTTGAGCTATTTTTTTAGTTACCCAGCTCGTGTAGTTGAAGGGAAGATACTGAAATGTTGTGATAAGACCCGATTCTGCAAATATTTACAAGGTGGAAGAATTTTGTTATCTATAGGGGTGACACAGGGATCTGACTGATGAGCACAGAGCTAGTGCATCTGCATTGTATGGATCCCTCCTGAGATGGAAGGGATATACTGGGGAAAACAAAACTCTTCTCAATCCATCAGTCTACACTGAACACTTTACCTCCTTTACAGACACAGAGCACAGTTTTACCTTCCTTCTTTTAGACATTCAAGTGCTTCTAGTAATTACACACATATATTGGGTATTGAAAGACACATCTGGATTTAAAAGAACACGCGTGTTCACTCTAACACTGGAATGTCATTTTGCATCTTGCACAGGAGCTGGGAATGAGCTGCATTGTAAATAACATTCCCTAAACTTGAGGATTTTCAAAATATGATAAGTGCTATAGAAAATATTACTGAGGCTGACAAAGACTACTTTGTTCTAATAACGAGATTAGTTTGAAGCACAAGCGCATTTGCATTATTCTTCTGTTTGTTCATTTAGAAGAGACACTGGCATTGTGTGTTTGCAACCAAAACATTGGCAACACTTTTTCTGTGATTTTCAGATCTAGGATGTCACCTCTAAGCCTCCTCACAGCTAAAAGGCTTTAAAATAACCTCAAAGTAAACCATGAAATAATAACTGAAACCCAGAACAAATGTTTCCTAAGAAATTAATGAATGTTTTTGCACTCTTAGGCCACATCAACAAGTATTGCAGAAATGCTTAATGATTACACAGAAAGATTCTATAAAATTTACCATATTTTTAAATAAACATATTTTTAAGTGGAACGTAACCAATGTTTGTAATTAACTGAGAAAAGTATGGAGCCAACATGAGCTCATAAGCTGGTATTTCTTAATGGGTAAAATGTAGTCTTGCTGGTTGTGCGGCTCTTGAAATACAAAATTTTTGTGGATCTACTTTAGTATTAATTTCTGCTGAGTTATTGGTATTTCTTAAAAGTGTTGGAACACTTATAAGATCCACTTCATTTTACCATAAGTTTTTTCTTGCAAGACTAATATGCATAATGCCTGGATGGAGGAGGCAACTGTTGGCCAGGACTTGAAAGTGTTAATAATGACTGAATGTTAGAAGGTCTTGATGTCAGTGTGAAAGACATTGGATGTTTGGTTGTCCACTGCAAAACATCTGATTTTCAGAGAGGGAGTGATGTCTGCAGTCCAAAAATCTGACCCCCTTGAAGGCAGGCATTAATGACAGTTATTTTTTAAAAGACTGCCCCTCTCACTATCAGGTGTGTATTAATCCCCCTCTTGCCCAAAACCAGAAGCAACAGTTACATGTTTCACAAGTGTGCAAAGAAAACCTCACTTTGTTTACAATCCACTTACATTAAAAAAAATTATTTGGAATGACAGTGAAAGAAATTGCCTAAAATTAGAACCTGCCAAAGGATTAGACAGGATTAAGATCTGGAATACTGTATTCTGACTCAATTTCTATTTTAAAAAACTTCTATAACTGCAAGTTTACATATAAACTTTCTTGAGGAGATATTGCCATGTTGTTTACCAGAACCTGAGGGAAAAGTGTAGTTTTATGGCTAAGGATAAAAAAAGAAGCCTTGAGGTGTTGCTCAAAACTTCATGCCAGTCTTTTCAAGCATAGCTGCCCTATTCACATCCTGAGGCAAATTCAAACACATGTGATATTAAACCCCATAGTCCTTTGCCCTTGACAACCTCTTGTCACTTGGACAGGTTTTCATGTTGCTAAAACCCCTTTTGTTTGTTGCCATACTTGAACCAATATTGTTTGCCAGTGATAGGCTGAACCTAACACCAAAGAAGTACTGAGTCAGACGCCAAGTCTCCAATGATGATAAGCTGTAACGTGTTCTGGTGCTTTCCTGAAGTGAAAAGACAGTGCCAAAGTGGCAAAAAGAGAAAGCAAGGCATCCGATTATCAGTAAAACTACTGATCCCAAAGTGAAATGGCACTAAATAGCTGAGCGAGTAAGATTTCCAAGGCTTAAAAGCAGTTCAATTGCAGGATGCTGTTCCGTTTAATAACCGCCTGGAGTTGAGAGGCAATGTGGGTGGGCACCAGTGATAGGTGGCAGGAGGCTGAAGGGGCTCTTCCCACTGGCATTGCTGGGAGGGAATGGCTACAGTGTGCAGAGCACAGCACCGACATCCAGCCTTGCAGGTGGCTGCTAAGGACAGCCTTAGCTTCGCTCTCCCCGTTACTGCTTCTGTCGCTCTCGACAGCCGTTCACTCCCGAGAGCATGTCTGCTATTCCTTGGCCAAGAAGCTAAGATCAAGGTGAATACTTTACAGGGTGGGCTTTATTGGTTTTTGTTTCTTTAAGAGAAAGCAATCTATTTTCCTTCCTAGTAAAATAATTAATGACAGTTATCAGAAATCAGTAATGTTTTATATAAATGCATCTTAAGAATTAAAAACATTTTGGGTAACACTAAAAGTTTTTCAAACCTGTGAATGAGTAACAGGAATGTCATGCTGGCACTTCCCCCACTTTAGTGGACTTGACAAAGTTTAAACACACACAAAGCGTCCTGTTTATAAATAGGCTATTTACAGCCTGTACTAGTTTTAAAATATCATTTAAACATAGCCAGGGTTTTTTTCAGTACCTAGTTCAGCTATTTAAAATACTGGAGTTTCCCACTAAGAGAATTTCATAGAAAAAAGACATCTGTAATTCATAAAGTCAAATATGTTACTTTTGCAGATGCCAATAAAAACATGGCTCACTATGAATTACGGTCACTTAATTGATATTGCTTTGATCTTTAATTGATATGCATTTCGGTAACCAATTCTATGGGATGAATTTCTCTTATCACCCAGAAACCATATTCTGAATTGCACTTAACACGTGTTTATATTAAACTATAAGAGACTGAGTGTACATATTAGCAGTAGTAACAGAAACTACTGTTTCTGCAGCAGCACATTTAAGTCAACAAATACTGTGATAAAACAAAACACTGACCTTTCAGTGAATTAGTCTGTGCCCTCTGCTGCTAGTGTGGATAAGGCAAATATTTGAAATGTGGGCTGCAAGAATGAGACTGGCAAGAAAGAGAAGAGAAATGCTGTTTAACTCTGCTGAATATGGAAGGAAACGGGATGGGATTAATAAAGGAGCCAGTGCTATTATACAGTATCAGTAATTGCAAAGGGATCATCATGTTTAGAGGAGAAACTGCTCTGACGGCCACTGTC